ATGTTAAAGTCAAAACCATTTTTATTTAAACAGAAAAGGGGAGATGATATGTGATTTCCCTCTGTATGCTGTGAATACCATAGGTTAATTTTGAGCCCATAGCAGTGCAGAGCCCACAAAGAGCTAGGCAGGGAAAACTAAAGTGAATGCTGAGAAAGAAGGGTGGAGTCAGAGAGACACCATGTAGCCCCACTGGAGACAGACTTTACCCAGTAAGCCACAGCCACATGGCCATACACAGATTAATAGAAATGGGTTAATTTATAAGAGTTAGCCAATAAGAAGCTAGAGCTAATGGTCCAAGCAGTGATTTAATTAATACAGTTTTCTGTGTGATTATTTTGGGGCTAAGCAGCTGGGAACAAACTCGCAGTCTTGTTACTATACACCAGGACCACAGGCTCTACCCCAAGGGAAGGGTGGGAAGGGAACTGACTGACTGTGGGACCAGCTGTAGATCTATCTTAAACAACTCTCCAATTGTCTCCATTCCTAGACTCCACAGAGTGGGAAGCAGCCTGGCATTTATCCATCATAGCCTAAGGGTTCAAAGAACAGGCAGGGTAGGAAATGAGGACGCAGCATGGAGACAAATAGAGCAATGGACCCATCCATCCCAATGTCATACGTTCTTCTTTTAATATTCACCAAGTCCAGGTCTAGCATGGTGGCACTCACCTTTAATCTCAGCACTCGGAGTTCAAGGGTAACCTGATCTACAAAGTGAGTTCCAGGACAGTCAAAACTACACAGAGGAACCCTGTTTCAAAAAACCACACACACAAATCACTGAATCCAACTTGGGTGTTGAGTCATTCACTAGAGCAGAGATTCTCAACCTGTGGGTCAAGTGCCCCTTGGAAGTCACACATCAGATATCCTGCATATCAGATATTTACATTATAATTCATAAAAGTAGCAGAATTAGTGGGCTGGAGAGATGGCTCATCAATTAAGAGCATTACTTATTCTTTCAAAGGTCCTGAGTTCAATTCCCAACAACCACATGGTGGCTCCCAACCATCTGTAGCGGGATCTGCTGCCCCCTTCTGGCATAAAGTCAGGCATGCCAATGGAGATGCATATATAAAATAAATCTTTTAAAAAACAGTAGCAGAATTAGTTATGAAGTAGCAATGAAATAAATTAGTTGTTTTAGTTTTTCTTTTTTTCAGTTTTTTTGAGACAGGGTTTCTGTGTAGCTTTGAAGCCTATCCTGGAACTCACTCTGTAGACCAGGCTGGCCTCACAGGGATCCATCTGCCTTTTCCCCTTGAGTGCTGGGAATAAAGGCGTGCACCAGTACCACCTGACACAATAAAATAAATTTATGGTTGGGAACTGTATTAAAGGGTCTCATCATTAGGAAGTCTGAGAATCACTGTTCTAGAGCAATGGTGAACCTATGGAGACCACACCCCTGAAGACAACTGACATTCCCCCTCCCCGCAGCTATTAACTGTAGTAGCTGCCGACACTAGTGACGCTGTGATGCTGACTAACTGGGTCCTGCCTGTGCAGGTCTTTTAAAGAGATGTGTTATTATCATGTGCCACTGAGTTCATATGTGCAGGTGCACATGTTCCTCTAATTCTAGTCCAGAAGACACTCTCCAAGGCATGTGTACTGTACACACACACACGATTAGTCCAGAAGACACCTCCACAGACATGTACTGCACACACACACACACACACACACATACACACACACACGGTTAGTCCAGAAGACACCTCCACAGACATGTACTGCACACACACACACACATACACACACACGGTTAGTCCAGAAGACACCTCCACAGACATGTGTACTGCACACACGCACAGTTAGTCCAGAAGACACCTCCACAGACCTGTGTACTGCACACACACACACACACACACAAGTAAAAATAAGTCATTTTAAAAATAGAAATGTCGAGCCAGGCAGTGGTGACGCACGTATTTAATCCCAATCTCAGCACTCAGGAGGCAGGGGCGGGC